TCTGCATCAATGCCTGGCATTCCTGCGGCCCAAGTGCCAAACCTGGCACTTTGCTGTGTTGAACCTCATCAGGCTCCCCCAGCCCCACCTTTCAGCCCCTCGAGGTCCCTCTGAATGGCAGATCATCACGGTGCTGCGTGGCTACACATGCCTACACCCAACCCTCTGCATACGGTGGTCCCAAGGGACGCACTGGGATGCCGGCACACGGGGGATTGCTGCCCGTGGGTCACACACGGAGCGCCCCATGGCTCTGCAGCCAGGATAGGGCGATAGCAGGAATCAATGAGCTGCTGAGCGGCGGCACGTATGCCCAGGGCAGCCCCCTGGGGGCCACATTGTGTGCCAAGGTTGGGTGGGGGGAGAAGGGGGGGGGGGGGGTGGTCCCTGGTAGATGAGAAGGTGGAGCCCGGAGGCTTTGTGGCTTGCAGCCAGGCTGGAGCCGCGCCGCGTGCGTCAAGGCACATTGTGTGCGGCCCCGTGGGCAGCGCTTCCTCCGGCGGGGAGTCCGGAGCAGCCAAAAATAACAGGAGAGCTGAGTGCTGGGGTAAAAGGGGGGGGGGGTTTGAGGGGGGGGTGGATCCTCCCAGTAGAAGCCCTCGTCCCACGTCGGCTCCCAGTCCTACGCCTGGTTTTTTGTTGGGTACCGCGTTTTCGGCCCTTACCGCGCCGCTCCGCGTGGTTGCAGCTGAAGTCCAGGAGCTGGGGGGACTTGGGTTCAGCTGGCCAGGAGGGGCTGATGGACTTCGAGTAGGGGGGTGGAGGGGTCTCTGGAGTAGGGATGGGAAGCAGTGAGGAGTTGAGCACGTCCCAGTTTTCTAGATGTCACCCCATACCCTGATCCCATTCCCACCGGGGATCGAATGCTGGAGGGACCCCAGGGACCAGGGGCTGGAGGGGTCACAAGGATCAGGATTTGAAGGGACCCCAGGGGCTGCAGGGATCCCAGGGGCCAGGAGTTGGAGGGACCACAAGGACCAGGGGTTGAAGGGACCCTAGGAGTTACGGAGACCCCAGAAATCAGGGGCTGGAGGGATCACAGGGACCAGGAGTTGAAGGGACCACAAGGATGAGGGGCTACGGGGACCCCAAGGGGTTACAGGGACCCCAGGGACCAGGGATTGGAGGGACCACAAGGACCAGGGGCTGGAGGGACCCCAGGAGCTGCAGGGACCCTGGGGATCGGCCACTGGGGACCCCCCAGATGGCAAGGAGGGCCGGGGGGGGGGGGGCACTCACCGGGCGCAGCCAGACGGCTGAAGTGATGGGGGTTGCAGCAGAGCGCGGCCGCATCCCCGCAGCCCCCCCGGCCCCCCGCGCTCTGGCAGTAGCAGAGATGCTTGAGCTCATGGGGCTGCCGCAGGTCGGGCCAGCGGAACAGGCGGCACAGCAGCACCTGGGGGGGCAGCGCCTGCTTGGCCCCCCGCGGCACCCAGACGCAGCCGGACTCCCAGGCACCGCGGCTCTCCACCGCCTGCAGCAGCAGCTCCAGCTCCTCGTCCTTCAGCTTCTTGAACAGGGCGTGCGCCGCGGGTTTCAGGGCACCGGGTCCCTCCTCGGGGCCGGGGGTCGGGCAGCGCTGCCGCCACAGCCGCCTCAGCAGCGCGGCACGGCGAGAACGGAACATGGGGCAGAAGGGCAGAGCTGGGGATGGGGACGCGGGTGTCACTCGATGCGCTCAGACGCATCGCACCGTGTCCCCCCTGCCGCCACCGGGGCGATGCCGCATCCCCGTGGAGCCGCCCCATCCGTCGCACGCTGCGCGCCCACCGCCGCCATCCCCCTAAGTCACGTTCTGCCCCCCAATAGAAGCCCTGTGCAGAGCAGCGTCCCCGTCCCCGTGCCACGCATCCCCGTGCCACGCATCCCCGCGCCACGACCCCTGCGAGGGGGTCCCCGGGGGTGGGGTCAGACTCACGGTGGGCGGCGGAGCTGTGTGCCAGGAGATGGGGTCGCGCGTAGGGCCGCGCTGTGGGGCGGCCCGGACCGCTCTGCCCGCGGCTCGCCCAGTTCAGAGCTTTTTCCTGTGCCGGGATTCTCCCCTCCCCCGGACCTCCCCGTTTGGGGAATTCATTGATTCGTGTGTCCGGACCTCGGGTTGTGGCGCGGATGGGGTCAGGACGCGGCGACAGCGGGGCGGCTGCGTGGGTTGTGGGGCAGGGGATGCCCACAGCGTTGCAAATGTTGGCACGGTGACCCCGTGCTGGGGGGCAGCGAGGAGGCAGCGAGCAGCGCGGCGTAACGGCGCATAACCCAACCCCACGGGAAAGGGGGGCGGCGGGGTGTCCCACAAAGCCCCCACTCCTAACGCTGCGCGGGCTGCAGGGGTGACCCGAACCCTCCAAATCAGGGCTCCCAGCTGCCCCCCAAGCCATCTCAACAACCAACCTCCCCCCCCCCCCGCGGGCACAACGTGAGGGTGGGAACTCGTGCCATAACAAAGCCATCGTGTAAACGGGACCCTTATCCCGCGCGGGGCCGCGCTTCCTGCTCCCGACTTCCCGGCGAGATAAGGGCGGCCGCGCCGGCGCCAGGCGTGCGCCACGGACGGGGCTTCCCTGCAGGGATGGAGCCCGCAGCCCCACAGCGGGGCCGGCACCGAGCGCTTTGGGCACACGGAGACCCCCGCCATCGACCCCGAGGGTCGCGGTGCCCCGTTGTTCCGTGAGTTGGGCTGCAAACCGGATTCTGGGGGTATGTTTTGCTCTGGTCGCTTCCCGGCGGCGGTGGTGCCGGGCGGGCGCGTGGGGTTGGGGCAGGAAACGGCTTGGAAGTCTCTAAACAAGGGACTGAGTCACAGCAGAGATAACCCAGGGGAGGGGGAAGCAGGGCCGCGGCTCCCAGCACCGCTCCGCGGTCAACAATGGGGCCGGGGGGCGCCGGGGGGGCTCAGGGTGGGCCGGGTCCTGGTGCTGGGGGTCCATCGGGTCCAAACCGGGCAGCACAGAGCCATCGAGGGGCAACAGAGTCCTGGGGAGAGGAGAGAAGCACAGGAAGGGTGAGCAGCCCCAGGGGCACCACAGCCAGGGACCCCTCCTTCACTACGCACCGCCGCTGGGACCCCCACATCACCCCCCACCCCCCACATCACCCCCCACCTCCCACAGACCGGCTCCCACACACCCCCACAGCATCGCAGCTGCACCCTTCCCCCTTCCATCACCACCGCATCCAAATCTCTCCCCCTCACCCTATCGACTTCTTGAACACCGCAGCCGGAACCCCGCACCCCTCACCGCCACCCGGGACCACCGTGACCGGATCCCCACCACTCACCAGCATCCCGGCGGTCCCACCGTGGGGAAGGAGCCGTGCCCTACTCCAGCAGCTCCCGGATGCACCAGCTGCACAGCAGGAGGTAAACGCACTCCCGCAGCACCCGCAGCACCCAGCGGCCGAGCCGCAGCCCCAGGGACGCGTCGCCGGGTGCCGGCAGCGCCACGGCTTGCGCCATCCGCTTCACGGTGCCCGGTGGCCGGGCTGTCGCGGTTCGTAGGAGACGCATGGCAACGGGATCTGAGCGGGGAGGGATCGGCGCGGCCACGCGGAGCCCCGGGCGAGCGCTGGAAATTGCTCCATTCTCTGCGCTTCAAAAGCCGCCACAATGACGCGCACGTGGGGAAGGGGGGGGGGGGGGGAGGCACCGCCTGGGGTCGCTTTTGTTCGGACTCGGCCGCTCTCGTTCCTCCTGCCAGAGCCCCGCAGAGCACCAAGGGAGCGGCGCAGCCAAGCTCGGGCGAGACGCAGAGCGCAGCGGCTTTATTTAGCGCTGTCCCCAGCAGCGGGGATGACACCTGCGGACGCCATCGGTCTCAGCGCGGCTCCCCGAGCTCTCACCGGCGCGACGTGCGCTCATCCTCCTCGTTTTCCAGCTCGTAGGCGGGCCTGTAGCTCTCTCGGCCGCTGGCGTCGGTGTAGAGCAGCGCTGGGTTCTTCATTGTGTTGGCCATGCTCCCCAGGGAGGTGTAGCTGTGAGGGGACAGCGCGGCTGTGGGAGGGCTGGAAGGCATCGCCCCGTGCTCTGCCCCTCTTCTGCCTGCTCCCCACACTCACCCCTTGTCGTAGAGGATGCAGTAGGGGACAAAGAGCTTGCGCAGGAACTCCCAGATGTCCCTGTATGTCCAGTCCTGCGGGCAGAATTGGGCAGGGATCGCTGCAGAGGTGGATGCAGTGGCTGCCCCTTGTCTCAGGGAAGGCACTCGGCTCCAGCTCAGCACGTGTGGAGCCCAGCCAGCATCCACTGCCCTCTGCCCAGAGCCCCAGAGCGCATCCGTCCCTCCCTGAACACGGCAAAAGCCACAGCTGGGCAGGAATGAGCCTCAATCACCGGCAGCAGCAGTGGGTGTCCCCACTGCAGGGCCACAGCTGGGCAACAAGGCCCTAAGGAGAGGAGAACTGGGCAGAGAAGCCCCCAAGGATGAGGATTCACTCCAAACTCACTCCCAGACAAGCAGGAACAGCCCTGTCCCCATCCCAGATGGCAGCAGCATACCAGCAGTGGGTTCACCCGCATGTACTGGGGCCAATCGGGGTCCGTCATGCACATGGGGGTCAGGGTGCACGAGTAGGGGTCGGTGCGCCGCGTGCCCATCAGGACGGCCTCCAGCTGCGGCTGCTGCTCCTTCAGGGTGAGCAGGGCGTCCCGGATGGAGCCCTCCACCGTGCACAGCTGGATCTTGTACCTGGAGGGCAGGACAGGCAGCTGGCATCGGGGCGGGCCGTGTCGCTTGCGCCCAGCTGGCCCTCAGCGCCCCCCGTACCTCCGCACGGTGGCCTGGATGAACTGCTCCATTTCAGGGAAGGGAGACACGATGCGGATGTAGAGCACCTTCAGCTTCTCCTGCCTCTCCGGGTACCGCCTGGGGAGAGAGAGCCACCACAGGCAGCCATCAGAGACGCGAGGCAAAGCAGGCAGAGCAGGGCAGAGAGCCCCGAGCAGCCCTGAGGAACCCCAGCGCCCCGCAGTACCTCTCCACGGCAGCGTGGACCAGGTGCAGCAGGGCTGTGCAGTCCTTGCCCCCGTTGAAACCCACGCAGAGCTGCGCTAGGCTGTACCGCTCCAAAGCCTCCTCGATAGTCCTCAGTGCTGCTGCCACCTTCTGTCCCAGAGCCAAGCCTGCTGGGAGGGGACAGTCGGTGCCTGCTGGCGCTGGTGCCTGCCCAAGGCCACGCTGCCACAGCTCAGCCCCAAGGCCCAGCTCCTTCCTGCAGTGCCTCACCCTGCGGGCTCATCTCCTCTCCAGGCACAGCCCAGAGCTGCTGCTGGCACTGCATCCTGAAGCCAAGAGCTCACGTGTCCCTAAGGCACAACCATCCCCCTACCCAGCAAGGGGACGAGTGCCAACCCCAAAGAGAACTCGATGCAAATTCCACACCCGGGCTGCTCTTGCCACTGCCTCGGCCCCTCCGCGTCTGCAGGAGCAGCACAAGGACCCCAGCTGCAGCTGCTGTACCTGACTCAGCCAGGGCATAGACCTCAGTGGAAGCCCTCGAGACGCAGTCAGTCACCAATGGCACCACCACGCCAGGCGGCAGCTTCTCCATCAGGAAGCCGTGTGCCTCCTCCAGGTGCTGCTCCGATTCCGAGTCCAGCGTCAGCTTCACACGGTAATAATTGTTGGCCCAGTCCGGGTAGGAACCCAAACTCACGCGGTCCTGAAAGCTGGCGTTGGCCTGATCCAGCACGGGAGCAATCTGCACCTCATCAGCTGCCACGTAGATGGCACGGGAGTGGAAGCAGGTCTGCTCACTGCGGAAAAGATGGCTGAGGCCATCCAGGGCACGTTCCATCAGTGCTGGGATGCCTGGGAAGATGTAGACGTTACGGACGCTGACCAGAGGATACTTGAAGGCACTGCCTGTGAGTCGGTCTGTGCCATAGTTGAGGCGTGAGGATTCAGGGATGCGAGCCAGCTTCATCTCAGGGCACTGCATGTCCGTCTTGCCGAAGAATTTATGCACCAGGGCCACCAGCTCCGGGTGTGGGGCCACCTTCTCCCCAAAAGCTTTGGCCACGGCCTCGAAAGTGACGTCGTCGTGCGTGGGGCCAATGCCCCCCGAGGTCAGCACAAAGGTGAAGCGGGAGGCGAAGGCGGCCACTTCAGCAGCGATGGCGTCCACCTCGTCGGGCACCACGGAGACGCGGGCCACGCGCACACCCAGCGCACGCAGCCGCCGGCACATGAAGAAGGAGTTCGTGTCCTGAGTGTGGCCCTAAGGGGAAGGGCAGCTGTGGTGAGACCAGACCTGACTGAGGCACGAGCCCAGGCCCAAACTCCAGGTCAGACCCCAGGGCCGACCTCAGGCCTGAACTCCAGGACAAACACCAGGGCAGAGTCCAGGACAGAGCCATAGATCCAAGCCCCAGGCCAGACTGCAGGCCTGAAGCCCAATCCTGACTCCCAGGCCAGACCCCCAGGCGAGAAAACCAGGCCCAAACATCCGGCCCGACCCCAGACCCAAACCCCAGGCCAAATCTCAGACCCAAACCCCCGGCCCGGACCCCCGGCCGCAGTCCCTGAGCGCAGCTCTCAGGCCCAGCCCGACTCCAGGCCCGGCCCAGCCCCCAGCCGCAGACCCCGCTCTCACCTTGAGGATCTCATCCCCGATAATGATGATCCCGGCGGTGGAGGCGGAGCTGTACCCGGCCATGGCTCTGCAGGCCGCGTTCCGCCGCGCGGTACCGAGCAGAGCCCCCACAACCCGCAGCGCCACCCGCATGAACCCCGCCGAACCGAACCGGTTCCGCCACGCCGCCACCTCCCCGCGCTCCTATTGGTCGGGAGGAACGTACGTCACGAGGCTCTGCGAGCTCTGATTGGTTGAGAGCGGACAGAGCCACTGCGGGGGGCGGTCCTACCGCTCCCCCTTCCCCCATAGCGCCATGGACTCGCCCGACACACGTGCGCTTCCCCTCCCCCCTTCCCCGCCCCGTTATCCCGGAGCCCTCCTGCCCTATGAACCCTTCCAACACCCCCTCTCCGGTCACGGCTACACCAGAACCACCCGGGGGAGGGAGGGCCGTTCCTGAGCACCGGGAGCTCTTCCTGCCTCCCACCTCCCTCCCTCTGCCCCCAAAGGCAGAACAGCAGCACACAGCAGTTCCCAAATATCCTTTTATTGAAGCTTTTGAGAACCCCGTCCCCACAGCGCGGTGCCCGGAGCTGAGCTGCTGCAGGTGCCCAGATGGCACTGAGTTCATGAGCATCTTAGGGACCCAGTGGCTCTGCCCCAACCGGGAAAGCTCCCAGGAACAGAGGGTGCGAGAGAGGAGGAGAAGGAGGATGATGGTGATGATGAAGGTGCTTTGTAGCCCAGGCAGATGAAGGCTGCGGCCAGCCCAGGGAACGCTCACTTCTCTGGCTTCTTGGGCAGCGGCCGTCGGAAGAGGAGGATGTGTGGCTCTGTGGGGACGTAGCACAACGTCAGGCTGGGCTGTGGGATGGGAGCTCACATCCCATAGGGCAGCCATACGGGACTCACCTGGCTCGTGGATCATGTAGTGCACCCAGCCCTGGCTCTGCTGCACGCCCAGGTTCCGCCACTCCGATTCGGACATCAGGTGGGTTTTGGGCACCAGCTTGGCGATGTCTTTGGGCAGCATCACATGCCTGCGGCCGGGGGCTGCTCAGCCGGGGGCACTCTCCCGGTGCACCCCCCTCCCCCCCTCTTAGGCTCAGATCCCCCTCCCATTCCCAGATCGTTGTTCCTCCCCTTTCCCCCTCAGGCTCAGAC